ATTTCTCACTAAGAAGCTTGTAAGCATCCTTCTTCTCAGTAAGCTCTCAAGTCTCAACCTCGTGACGTTTGAACTCTTCTCGGTATCGAATAAAAGCCTCGTGATGAAGTATCGAGGTCTGTATACATAAAGGAAAATGTTACAATTATTTTATAAAGGGAAAACGTTACCGAGGCCTGTAATTACATAACCGAGGCCCGATTCAACGCTTGTTGAGCTTCGTTGAACAGGCAGGGTGCATCCACCTCGCTCATCTTAGCTTGATCATCATCGGTCACCAAGCACCGAAGATAGTCGGCCACCCCTACGGGGGCGAAAAGGAACTGAGCATCCTCAAAAAGGGAAAAAATAATAGTGTATTTCCGATCGGGATATGCACTCGGGGCAGGAAATCGATCGACCAATTTCGGGCTCGAAGAAGGCCCGCTTGCTTCAGAGGGTGAACTCTTCCCCGATATATCTAGATCGCCAAATCCAATTGCATCCTCTGTGGCAGTCGAATCCACGCCATAGAAAAAAACCACGAAATGGGTCGTTCGATATGTGGGTTCCCTCGACGGGGCATTCTTTGTTGCTTGGAACTCGTTAAACATAGACTTTGTGAACGAGAGCGACTCAGCAATCTCTATTGGACCAAGTGCTTCCTGCGAGGCTTTGCCCGCATCTCGGGAAGCCTCATATCCTACCCTGACCTCGACCTCATGAAATTCAGCCTTGCCTCCCCCTGGTTCGGAGGCCCCTTGCCCTTCGAGCTACGGCTACATACTGTCCATGAGATCAAAGACTTCCCTTTCCCCCTTGGACTCATCCCTTAGGTCTTTGTCTCGACCCATTCCTTCAGTCGAGGAACCGCATCCGACATCCGAGCAACAACTGCACCATCGCAAAATATAAATGAGAGGGGAAAGAAAAGAACATCAAACACAATCTTAAAAGCGATATTGTACTTATGCTTCATATTCCACTTCTCAGGAAATGGCATATGCCCGACTGGGATCAAATCTGAGGTCTTCACTCGAACGAAACGAGCTAACCAGCCTCGGTCCTAATCCTCGTCGATGCTCGAAAAAGGGGCCTTAGTGGCCCGACGTGCAAGCTTGATTAATCCCTCTCGATAGAGCCGGGGGCTATACAGGCGCATAAGGTGGTCGATGGTGAAGGGACATCTCTCGACCTTGCTCACAAAGAAGCGAAGAAGAATTACTATCCTCTAGAACGAAGGATGAATTTGACAGAGGGTCACCTTGTACCTCTTACAGAAGGCGATGATGACCGGATCTAAGGGACCCAGTGTGAAAGGGTAAGTGTAAACATTTTAAAAACCCTCAACGTGGGTGGTGATCGATTCCTCGGGGCTAGGGACCACTACAAGCTTATTGGCCCAGTTACAATCCTCCTTAACCTTCTCTAGGACACTGTCGATGACCGAACATATGTACCTCGAGGCCGGCTCACACCGAACCGGTACCGGGGAAGTTTTCTCAATCTTGAAATCGGCTCCGGTTGGGGTTCTAGTGTCGGTTTTTCAGTAACAGCAGGTGAAACGTTCTCAAGGAAGAGGGATTTTCTTTTTGAGTAACGGATTTTGAAGTCTTTGCCATTGCTTCTAAATAGAGGAGAAAAGAATGTGCTGATAAAAGACAAGGTGTAATTAGTAGATTATTTATGAAAGCTTTCAGAAAACTAGAAGGGAAAAAGTTTTAAACTTAAGCTTTCAGAAAACCATAAGGGAAGAAGTTTTAAACTTAGATTTTCAGAAGACCAGAAGATGAGAGTGATGAAGTTTTCTTAAAACACAAGAGCCCAATGTAAAAGTTCTAATGAATGTATGAAAGGGGATATTTATAGTTCTCTCAAATGGCGGTTCGCATCCTGTAGCGGCCGACCGTTAACTGACACACATTTAATGCCCTGAAGACTGGGTTGACGGGACATTTCAACTATTCTTGTCACTTACGTTATGAATTCGTCGTCATGATTTATCAGAGTGAGAATCAGAAGCTCATATCGTTTCTCATCATTTACTATCCAAAAAACAAGGGGATTTGACGTCATGTTTTTGTCACTTGCGTCATGATATATCGAAGTGAGAATCGGAGGCTCATGTCGTTCCTCTCCATCTACTCTCCGAAGAACGAGGGGACTATCTGTATACGGGTAAAACCGAGCTCGATATTAGATCGAGCTTCCGAATTCCCTGATTAGGCCAGGGCCGAAATATCCGTGATCGGGTGAAGTCGAGCTCGAAGATTGATCTGACGCCCCACACGATCAGCCAAAGATCGAAACATAATAATGAAGATCGAACTCAAAGCATTGTCAAAATTAGCCATCGAAACCATCAGATTTTCTCTCGAGTTCACCGAAGGCGTAACCGATCCAGTTTCCAACGGCCTCAAAAAAAGCTTTGCCAACTCATCCGACGGGGGTCCATAATTCTCGCCATTAACTAGTCATTGTGGAAGAAATCACGAAACGACTCAAAAAGGGAACCAACGGTCAGTAAATCAAGGACTTTTGCCTTTTATTGAACAATAAAATAATACCTTAAAAATTATATCTCCCCTAATATATAAATGGGACTTGACAATTCATTAGGCATATGGTAACATACACTCATAAGCAAAACATTATCGTTATACTTATTTCTTTGCTATCTTGATGTTAATCAAAGTGCATTCAATTCAAGGGTGGCTTGCATTCTTAAGCTGAAATCATCCAATTGCTGTGGTTTATAGTTATTTTATTGCTATTTATTTTAATTGCAATCTAATTTATCGCTTTGTATCAAGTTAATTCACATGTCCTTATAACCACTAACAAATTCAATTGTTATCCGATTTGAAGGATAAACATATATATTATATGTGTATAATTATGCATAACTGATGTATAATCTATATATATGGCTAAAAAAATAAATAATGAATATGACCGGATATTCGTGTAAATATCCTTATTTTTCTCCCTATAGGATGTTGGTAATAGACCTCAACTATGAGTGTATAACTTAAATCCGTGAATAATCAAATCTCATTTTTCATTCACTAACTATATATTATACTATAACAAGAGTCACGAGAAGGAAAAATCATATAAGCTATATTATAGGGTGAAATTTAAAAATAGCCAAATTTACAAGTGGTAATTGAAAAATAGTCACAATTTCAAAAGTAATCGAAATTTAGCCACTTTTCATGTAAAGATAAATTTGAACGAAAACACTGTTCAAAATCCAGAAAATATTCCAACATAATATACTGGAGTTCCAGCATAATATACTGGTCCAGCATAATATGCTGGAAGTTCATACACATGTGCTCCAATCTCCAGTATATTATGCTGGAACTTTCTGTATGCTAGAGTTCCAGCATAATATGCTGTAAGTTCATATAAATGTGCATCAATCTCCAGTATATTATGCTGAAACTTTCCGTGTTGCAGCAAAATAGTGATTATTTTTCAATGAATTTGCAAACGCTGGTTATTTTTCAATTATCAGTCTGAAAACTGGCTAGCCCGTTCTATTTTTACTATATTATATGAATACTACCAGAGCCGTCAAAATGGGTTTGGCCCGTGAGGCTAGCCCTACCCAGCCCGCTACTTGGGTAGGGTTGGGCTAGGAATTTTTGAGCCCATTTAAAATTGAGGCTTATAAGCCCGGCCCAAGTCAGTCCTCTGGCCCTTAAGGCTTGATCGAGGTTGGGCATGGGCCAGTCCGTGGACCAAAAATTAATTAAATTTAAATTAATTAACTGTTAAACATTTAATATTTAAAAAAAATAAAAAATAAAAAAAGTATTAACTATAATCCTCATTCCCAACCCTAGATTGCTCATTTACCCTTTCATATCAACTAGAATTTAGATTTTTGACATGCATGTAATATGACAAAATTAGTTTATTCTTTTGCTTAATTAATAACGAACTCGAAAAGTTTTAGGTGGCCAAAAATAATATTTCTTTTAAAGAAAATAATACTTTAAGTGGACAATGACCAATTTGGATTACTTTAATATATTATCAATATTTAAATTGCTCTTCAGTATAGAAAAAGATCGATTTTAAATACACAAAAAAAATTGACCACTAGCAAATTTCAGGAATTTTAAAAATTTTATGGACTATAATGATGAAATCAGCAAATGATGTTAATCCTAAATTTAAATACCTCAGCATATAAACTTATTGAAGCAATCTCTGAATCTGAGAAAAATGAAAGAAAAGTATTAAGAAAATATTCATGTAACTTTAAAAAAGAACTAGAGATATAGAGAATTTGCATTTCAATTACGAGATTCCTCGTCAAATATCAAGTTTTTTGTACGCTCTAAGCAAACAAAAGTTGTTTATATGATTAATCGACTACGTCAAAAAAAATATTTAAGAATTTGAAAAAATTCTTTTTTCTAAAAAAAATTGAAGAGTCGGTCCGCCCTAGCCCGCGACCCTCTTAGGGCTGGCCATTTTAAGGCCCATTCATATGGTGGGCTGGCCCTTCCTAGCCCACCAAATTTAAAAGGCCACAAGGCTTGGGCTGAACTGGCCCGTTTTGACAGCTCTAAATACTACAATATTATTCATCATGCACCTTTTACGACCAGATAATATGCAAAGAATCTTTTTTTTTTCTTACTTACTAAAAAGATTAAATTAAAATTCCTGGAGCACTTATGAGATTTCAGTTAGCAGAGACGATTGGGTGCTCTATTTAAGAATTATGTAAAATGTGATTTTAGTATGTAAACCTTGTATATAGGATCTCTTCCTTTTTACACCAGTACAATTCCTATTTTATACAATAATAAAAAAGATAGGAAAACGCATGGATACTTTCCGCTAGCTGAGCGTATCAGCCCGTGCACTGTTGTAGCTAACGCGTTAAGTAAATCTTGGATTGAAGCTAGACAGCTATTTGCTTTGAACCCTATTCACCTGCCAAGTTTCCTAATAAAATAAGTAACCCTTTTTAATAAAAAAACAGTTATCCACTAATATTATCTATGAAAAAATGGATAACCGAGTTAAGAAATGATTTCCTGAATAATCTTGAGTTATACAAAGATGTTTGAACAAAGGGCATTATTAATTGAGATCATTGTCATATTTAACAACATCAGAAAGGAATGGATCCTTGAGCAACTCAGCAGCAGATGGTCTTGCTCTTGGTTTCCCAATGCACCTTTCAATGAAAGCCTTCAATTCTGGATCACTCAATTTGTTAAAAGCTTGAGGCCTAATTCCAGATGTAACCTTCCTGTATAACTTAGCTATACTGTCACATTCACTATATGGTATTTCCATAGTAGCCATTTCTAGCAAACACATTCCAAATGAGTATATATCCACCAACTCTGTATAGTTTTCTTCATATAGTTCTGGTGCCATATATTCTGGTGTCCCGAGCAACGTATGTGCTGCATGGTTCTTCCCGACAATCGTTGCCAAGCCAAGATCACCGATCTTTACCTATATTAACATAAGAACTACAATTAGTGCGTTGCACTGGTTTCAGGAAAGCAAAACCTCCATACTATAAACAATACTACAAGATTCAGTACAAGTATCAGAGTTTTAGTTCGGATCCTATACGAGTATGTTCAACTTCTAACCTATTTTTGCATATATTCAAGGAATCATAAAGAAGGGGAGTTTTGGAGCAACGGTAGAGTTGCCTCTGTGTGATCTACAGGTCACGGGCCGGGTTCGAGTCATGAAATTAGCCACTAATGCTTGCAGTTAGGGTAAGCTATCTACATTGGCCCTTCTCTGGATCCTGTGTTAATGCGGGATACTTTGTGCACCGTACTGCCTGCCTTTTCAAGGATCCATAAACAAAAATCACATCTATGTCATATCTTTTGACAAGACTATGTTCATACAAATGAAGAGTGTATGTCAAAGGCAGATCCGGAATTTAAACTTGATACGTTCAACTTTTAAGGTTCTTACGTTGAATTCATTGTACTTTTGAAATTACAGGTTCAAACTTTAATATTTGTTGAATTTTAGTTTTTTTTCACACACACGCACACACACACATATATGCGCAGTGCCGATAATTTTTGAATTTCCAGAATAACTACCATTTAACTACTTGAAGACACTTCCAAATATTACTTTAAGGATTAGGATCTCAAATTCTTCACTAGCTTCAGATGATATAAACAGTAAGCTAAACATTCAGCAGATTTAAATGCACATCAACTGAAGATAAAGTGAATGAGTTGATTAATTACCTTTCCAACATTCCCATTGATAAAGATGTTACTGCAATTGAGGTCTCTATGAATAACACAAGGGTCATGAGTGTGTAAATAATCCAAGCCCTGTAGTATTTGTCTAGACCACTTCTTCAACGCCTTAATCGAAACGTGACGATGCTTTTTCCTATAATCCCTCAAATTACCTGAGGCACATTCCTCAGTAATGAAATTGAGGATGTTATGTTCATTGTCTTTCCAGACATGATATAGTACTATTATGTTATCATTCTTCAAGTTCTTCAATAGTGCAATCTCCGAATGGATTTTATCGATGATATAAGGCGTGTCACTGAATTTGCTCAACTTAATCTGATTCCAGGCCACATCTCTGCCTTCTTCTAGGTCAAATGCCCTGTATACTTTCTTCACTGCACCATGGCCTAGCAACTCGGGGTATCGGCCGAACCTCCCGGATGGATCAACCTCAGCAAATGGCTCCCTCTCTTCATCAGTTGGATCAGAACTTGCAGATGGCATTTTAAGCTCTGTTGAAACAATCCAAAAGAAGCTTAAGTATTTACAACAACAACAACAACAACCCTAGTGGAGTCCCCAACGTGGGGTCAGACGAGGGTAATGTGTACACAAACCTTGCCCCTATCCTGGGGAGAAACTTAAGTATTTAGAAGATTCATAAAAAGAACAAGAACATTGTTGCGAAAGAGATCGTGGATTAACTAGCGCACAATCACACAACAACGCAAAAAGTGAAGAAAAATAATACAAGGATTTGACGAGGATTGGCAAAACCTACTCTTCGAGGCAGCAGAGAGAGTTTTCTACTATGAATCTCCAACTACAACCCCTATATATATAGATCTGAAATAGTCCTAAACCTATAAGAGAAAGGTTTTCCCAATCTTACAAGGATAATATGTTTTTCTTTCCTAAATCTATTAGAAGAATGAATTTCCAAAGCCTACAGAGATTATGATTTCCTAAAAATACAAAGAAATTAATTCAAGACATAAATAACGAACACACTATTGAATCACTGCTAACATAATAGACCTAAATCCAAGAACAAATAGCTAAAATTCCAAGATGATATAAAACACATTTCGGCTCCTTTTCTAAAAACTCGTTAAAACCGTTATTTTGGACTGAAAATTGACTACTACAGCCACAACTTCCTAAAGTCACAAGTTGGCGACGGTTACATGAATCCTGAAGTCCTTGTCGCGCCGTTTAAACTCATCTCAATCCAATATTGTATAAAATAAAATTAAAGAATAAAAAAGCACTAGAAGTTCTGTATAATGTCTCGTAGAAAATATCGTAACTAAAAAGTAAATATACTAACATGACTAATACGTAATTCCAATTAATTAGCTCAACCAATTGCTTTCAATTTCCAACAAACTTGAACTGAAGATAGAAAAGCTCCAACTATACTGGGATGACGTTCATTAGACATAAAAAATACAACTATAGAACAAATTGTAACGGCAAATGAGATTGAGGGGTTGACTGGAATTTGAGAGGTATCTTTCGGCTGAAATTTATTGACCAAAATCTCAAACTAACAAATAAAAAATTAATTCATCTATTGAATCAGGACAACATGAAACAGTTAACTCAGAAACACTACCTATGTTCAAGTTCTTTTGTGAAACTAATAAAATGAGAAATACTAGAAAAGAATAACCTTTTCTGCAATTACATTAGACTAATTAGGAAGAAAAGGAACCATGAAATCTATCATATAAAGACGTGTTAATATCATATAGTTACAAGAATGAGAGAATATAAAGAAACTATGCAAATTTTGGATGGAAAAATCAAAAATGGGATGAGTTTGCAATTAATGGAAGGCTAGGGTGGTTATTAGAAAGCGCAAAGATTGAAGACGACGTTAAGAAGTAAGGAAATGAAGAATGAGAATGAAACAAAATAAAGCATTTTTAGCTCTAGTTTCGGATGAAATAGAAAAAATCAATCAAGATAGATTGAATTGACCACCTATACTTCAACTAAAGGCACAAGGGCGTGGCGATCACATAACAGAGGAAATAAAGGACCCTACAAAAATTGTGCTTAAAATGCAAATTATCATTTACTTTCTTTTCCTTTTCTTCTTCTATTCATTTCCTCCGTTCTAAACAAACAAAAGTAAGAGAAGAGCATTACCTTTGGCAAAATGGAGAGGTAGAGTAATGGAGAGGATCAATGACAAATAAAATGGAAAGCCTGTTGTTATTTATAGATAATTCAAGTAAACCACAAGTCTACGTACGCACGCAGTATTTCGACTTCATTAAACAGTCATTTTCAGCTCATTAATATCACATGTGTTGCCATTAAATCAAATGAGCACTTTGGTTGTTTGGATTTAGTCACGTCACTCTCTACCTTATTCAATAATTTGAATAATAATATTGATTCCAGACGAAAAATAAAATTTTACTATGATTCAGGATAGATGGATCACTTAAAGATTTTTTTTAAAAAATACTTATTTCGGATTGGAGAAGGGAACCTTGTATAAGCCACGAATTCGAGCCGTGGAAGTTGTCACTAATGCTTGCATTAGGGTAGGCTATACATCACATCCCTTAGGGTACGGCCCTTCCCGGACCCTAAGTGAACGCGAAATACCTTGTGCATCAGGCTGTTCTTTTTATTTCAGATCGGAGTTGGTTTAGTGGATGATCAAATCCAGTTTGGTAATACAATTTTATATCATTTGCAAGTTGGAAAAGAAGCTCAACCATGTGAAAACATTTAATACAATCTAAAAGTCGGAAAGGAGTCAATGGATGCTAAGGGAAGGCTCCAATATCTTCAAGAAAAATATCAGATCTTCCAACACTACATATCCGTGGCATGTTTGCTGTCACCATATAGAATGCAAGAAAGCAAAATTAAATAAGTTGATATCATGCCCAACCCGTGCCCAAACACTTCGCATTCACTGAATCTCCAAGACAAGCAACCACCAATATTAAATGTCACGACCTAATACATTGAGGCCGAGAATAAAATACCATAAGTAGAAGCAGATTCAAGATTTTAAGTTAGTAAACGTAAAGCCTAATATGCCTTTGCGATAATGGGTGCAAATTTTTGTGTGTATGCACGTTATGTAGGAAGTCACGAAAAGTTTTGCTCTGAAAATAAAGGTTGGTCGTGCTAATGCACAAAAATTTCGTTTGGGTTGGTGCACTTAAAAAATCTTGCTTCAAATATGTATACGGTCAAAATCGAGCTCGCCTACGACTTGGTAGATTAGGCTTGGAACGTGGCAACCAAGGAGTGAAGATCGACCTCGAATCCCACCGAGCTAGAACCCTAGGTTGGAATGCCTGCCTTCGAAGAACAGTGAGTCTGTGTCGATCTTAACCTCAAACGGGGTCGGAGAAACATTGTTGAGATAACTAACATAAGACCGAAATATCCGTGACCGGTCGGATATTGCGGCGGGAATCTCGGCACGTATCAGTAAGGAACCGGCAATCATCGAATCAAGAAATTTTTACCTTTTATGAAAATGTACCTAGAATAGGACTCCTCTACTATAAAAAAGGGGTCTGATAATTCATTCTACACATTGTAACACGCATCCCAAAGTAATATATTATTATTATTATCTTGTTGTTCTGTTGTGATATCAATAAAAAAAATACTTTTGGCTCGAGAGTGGCTAACCTTCCCAGGCTAAGACTGTTCAACTTGTGTGGTTAACATTTACTTTTCCATTGCTTATTTCAATTGCAATCTGATTTATCGTTTTGTATCAAGTTAGATCACGTATCCTTAAAACCCCTTACAAATTCAATTGTTATCCGATTTTGAAGGTAAACAGTTTAGCGTCCTCCGTGGGGCTAAGGATAATAGTGGTTATTTGATACAAATCTCCGTAACACATACTGCTTTACGCTTGTGTCACGACCCAAACCGATGGGCCGTGACGGGCACCCGGTGCCTTACTCAACCGAGTACCAATATTACATATCCTTCTTATCGTACTGTCATTGGCAAATAGGCCAAACGGGCCATTATGGGATAACCAGAATAAACATAAGGGAATACTTAATATAAGACGACCCAATCTGATATAAAAATTTATACATTTGACATATGGGCCTATAAGGCCAAAATGATTGCTCGTACACTGAACATAGGCCGATAAGGCCATACAATATTTTATATACATGACATCTGTCTATAAACCTCTAAGAGTACATAAATATCATAAAGGTTGGGACAAAGTCCTGCCATACCAATCAACACATGTCCTAATCATACTGACCAAATAGCAACTCCGGAGCAAATGGAGCGCACCGACACCTTTCGCTGAGCTGATAGCCTACTTGGAGGACTCTCAATCTGTCTAACGGGACCTGCGGGCATGAAACGCAGCGTCCCCAGACAAAGTAACGTTAGTACAAATAATGTACCGAGTATGTAATGAATGAAAATCAGTAAATAATAGACATGAGAGAAACATGGAGTAAAAGACTCAACATGTATGTCTGAATAGCTCTGTGAATCATTATCATTTACAATGCCATGCATATGCGTATAAATGTCATACCATGCTTAGGTATATGCGTTCATAACATCATCAAGCCTCTGAGGGCATCCCATCATATCATCTCGGCTACTGTGGACAAACCATCAACGTATACCAGCTGATCAGGTGATGGTGCATATATAATATTGTAACCTTTTCTCATATCCCATATACATATAATATACGCATATATAACGCCATCTAGTCATGAGTTAATGTACATGTATAAATGAATGAAATGCATATGAAATACGTCAATAAAATCTCTCGGAACGTCATAGGACTAGTATGCCTTTAATTAATGTCATGAAATAAACTTTATCAATTTACGTATTTTCTGAGACCCATGAACAGATGATAGAATAATAAGATACATGGGAAATCAAGAATATAGACACCCCTAGTATTTCTGTGAATAGAGTCATTTATGGAAGTTGTGCATTTGCTCGTTTCATTTGCATCGTATTGATCATGCCAAAAGAAAGAAGGGATAGCCTTAATATAACTGAACCGATTCTCTTGACAATCCCTCTAACACACATTGATTGCGACAAAACATGTAGCGGCAGATCGAAGTAGGAAAAAATCCGTATGATGTTCTTGAGAAAGATTATACTGGTCTCCCTTAGAATTTGTAATTCACACTTTACAGAATCAACAACCAACGTTATCTATATTTGGTATGGAATTGTTTTGCTTTCTGAAGGACTGACGACCAGCTCACTCTCTTTGCATAAGAGATTCAATTCTTGGTTTGATCTTCTGTTATTAAGGAATAAACACTAAGAAAGCCTTTAGTGGGTGTGGCCCACTTAATAGATGACTAAGCCACCTTATTCCTCAAAATGTGCCATCTATGCAAGATTTAAGAGTCACTTAAATGGGATGGGGGTGCTGCCACGCTGGGGGGTTTAATATTTACCCAATAATTCCTTAATTAATTAGTTAATATCCCATTACCTAATAATTAACCAATTACCCACAATTAAGAATTATTCCAGATTACTTAAATTACTACTTACTTTTAACATACTTTATACACTTTACTATCATGGTCATATGGTACCTTGTATGGCACTAGTCCATAAATACCGGGTATTATAGCTCGGACCGTATTTTATCTCAAAATGACAACTTTCAACGAAACTCATTTTCTTCTATTCGCTTACCCTCTCACCTTCACGAATTTAGTTATCACTTGTTTGAAATAGCATAATACTTGTAACTTCAAAATAATCTCATTTTCGAGCTTTCATCAATTTACTTATGGCGTACTTTCACGTATGAAAATATGGGGTGTAATATCATTCCCCCCTTTGGAACATTTGTCCTCGAATTTTGACTGATGCACTTATCATTATCATAACCTATATCATTTGTGAATACTTTAATACTCTCCTTGCCATCTAGGCAATTGTTCTGTGAATAAATCCAAAGTCCAGGGTATTCCCACCTGTAGGTCTCTTTCTCATACCACGGCCTGTGGTCGGAATCCTTTTAATCTTGTAACCGATGCTACCTTTTATCATGCAGCATGTACGACTCTGACCTTGTAAGTGCGCCTCTCTCCCTTTTCCTCCAGTTTTTAGCCAATCTCTAGGCCTCACTTTTTACACGTATACAGAGCTTGACAAGATATCCCTCTGAGCATCTATAGGTATATTGAAGTTCTTCGCTCGGTACTTTGTCGAACTTATGAATATTGCTATATCTTATTTCATAGGCCCGATTATCTATCCATATGACTTTACTACATCTAGGTAGGCCATACTATACCATAACTCTTACTTCGATTTATCGTTACTGAGGTCTGTTATCAAGCTCCAGGTTACTTTCATTGCTTATCCTATATGTATAAATCTAAGTCCTCTAATGCTTCTTCATCACTGTTCATCTTAAGAGTGATGGTCTATTCTCATCTCATACTTTGTAACTTTTATCCATCCATTGTTGATTCACCTCAATATTGATCTATAATCTACCATTTATAACTTGACCTTTTATGTAATCACTAAGGCTCACGTCTCATCGGGGAACATCTGAAATGATCGGACTGATCCACCTGGGGCGATACCATGCTTTCATAACCGTATTTCATAGCATCCCAATGTGATTCACCTTATGTGGGTATTTTAATCCCGTACAATTCATGAAATCCTCTTCAAATTATTACTCAATCGAAGGCCCAAACGCCATCCTTTATCTATCACTATTACACCCTCATTGTACTACCAAGGCAACATTCCATCTCTTTTAAATGCTACTAGTCGTAGACTCCTTTGAGTTCGTTCAGGCTATACTGAGCTTTCTATAATTTAGAGAAACCATCAACTATCTTATTTTCATGAGCTTAATCCCGAGTATTTATCCATTCTGGTCACCTTCTCACTCGCCTTTTCTCATCCTTACTCCTGTCTTCCTAAAACTTTGTCGCTCTACCATACTTTAGCTTGCGACCTACACATATCTATTAATACTACTCGCAACTTTCCTTCAACTTGCTTGCACCATAGATTTTCTTATGTTATTCTGAAACATCAAGCGAGATATCACATCGCCTCAAACTCTTCTTTACTCTCTTATCTAGGCCTCACGGTACCTAGAAACCATAGGTTGGAAGATATTCCACTGACGATGATGCTATCATTCCAGGATACTGAATCCCAGTGCTTCTAGCCTTCTATCCAAAGTATGGACTATTCACAACCTTCTGCACT